GAGCTGTCATCCGTACGCAAGGAAGTAAGCAAGATGTCGAACACCCTTAGTGGGATGCAGCGCACCCTTCATGCGACTCGCCGAATGTCTCACGGCGCTTCGCGCTTGGTGATGTGAGGGCCTGGTCCGGTGAGAACCCGGCGTGCTCCGTCCCGGCTTTGTAGGGATGCGAGGTCAATGGTCTAACGACTACGGCATCCACGACTATGAGTACCCCCCCCCCCCCTGTCTTCCCGTCCTGCTCTGGCCCTCATCTCCAGGATGCCGTACTTTTCGTACCTTTCGATGCTGTTTCTGTATGAGACGCTGGGTTGGTGGAGTGGTGCAGCCGAAGTCAGGAAAGTTCACTTCGCCGAGGTGTGTGTACAAAATAAATTTTATCAATGGTCTTGTTTCATGTAATTCTCGACGTGAGCTTTTTCGCGTATCGGGGTGTATTCGAGGCAAAAGCTGCGGTCCCCAGGAGCCTGGTTTCGTGCGATGTTGGCGAGCGGAATTTGTCATGGACGGACATACTAACTTTTTGTCATTGTGACGAAGTGCGGTTCTGCTCTCCTGGCTGCGTCAAGTACGGCGATAATGTGTTGTGCACCTCGTCGGCCATGGCGCCGGACGATCCTCGCATCATCCTTCTGTGCCGTTGTTACGCCGCCCTGTCTGTTGCGGTAAACCTTGTCAACGTCTCTCCGCAAGACGCCAGGGGACGTTTCTCGAGTGGGGATTGTCTTGTCGGCCGAACTCCGCTGCGACGACACGCTTGCACATGTGACTTCATGATTCTGTGTCTGGTTCGAGTTCCCGCCTTCACCGCTATGACCTCAACGAGGTATGATGTCCAGTGGTGGCATCTCACTGCTCTCCTCCCGACCCAAATTGTTTCCCTTCTGGATCCCGTCTGGACTATCTCCGGAAACACTCCGTTGTTTTGGGCTTGATTGGTTGACAATCTGGGACGTCTCGCCAATGGTGTGGTTGCACATGACTTCCGGGTGCGTTGGGCGTCGGGATCGATGGTTTCAGGAGTACAACGAGATGCAGCACTTGCGGATCATGGAATCGCTAGGAGGAGACACGCGCTGGTCCGACCGTTTCTTGGCCAGACACGCCGCTATCATCTACTTCTTCGTGCTGATACTGGTGAGTCAATCCAAACGGCAAGATTCACGACGAGTATCTAATCATGTCTCGCGTGTGTGTTGTTGGGGCTGCTGCTGTTATTGTTTTGGTTGTTCTACGAGATCCAAACTATGGCACACCCGCACAATTATGATTTTGTTAACCTGGTGTCGCCCTTTGTTGGTCTGAAATTCCGGCGAGCCTTCTTTCCAACTCCCAAGACACTGCTGCTCTCGCTATTTTAGCCTCACCCAACATTTTCGGGTGCCAGTGTTCCGCCACTCCCTTCATGTGCTGTATCACGACGCCGCCGTTCTCCCTTTGGCGCATGTACACACCGCAATGCAGCCATGAACCCAAGCTTCCTACACCCCCCACGCTGTTTTCCTCCCAATCGTGCAGGGATACCTGGTGTCACCCTTCTTGGCCTACAACTTCAGCGAGCTCATCGAGAGCCATGCCGTGGACACCTACACGGAGTTTGCCGAAGCCAACAAGGAGTTGCTACAGAGCCTGCCGCCTACTCCACAGGTGAGGACGGCACATCACGGGGAACGTGGCCAGATTCCAGAAGATTCGGAGTGTGTGAATGGAACATTTGCGGCATGACATGATTCCTCTCGTGAGGTTTTCGTTTTTGTGCCATCCCACCATGTCTCAAGCGGCCGGTTTAGTCGTTCCCCCTTCGATACCAAACAATGAAGACGCAGGCCAGGGTCAGACAAGATCAAAATCGAACTGGGGTCCCCGTCTTGAGCTGTTATCTAGAGAGATCCTCCAAGCCTTTTTCCTCGCCGACTCAAGCAAACCGAGGTTTCCACGGTTTTCTTGGCTCTCACGCATGGCGTACTCATGGTCGGCATTTGAACTTGTCGTCTTTACCACCCGAACGTCGTACAAGGAACGATTCAGCTGTAGCCGTCTCGGATGGTTGTTTATTTTTTTCATGTTGCGGTTTTCAAACGGGGTACACTCTAAAGTCTAGTACGGCACGGTGTCGTGCGCGAAAGGCCTCGAGGTAAAGTTTGTTACACATGTAAGTGTAATGTCCTCTAAAACGTGAACGGGCGGATAGCATGAGCTCGCTTCGTTTTTCCGTTACAGGCGTTGGACTATTACCACGGGGGAGACATGTACCTTTTCGACGAGTTCCAGACCAGTCGGCCTGCTTTCAGCCGCCGACCGAGAATCAAGAACCTTTACGATGTCTTCAGGTGAGGTGATTCGTATCGGCAACTCAGCCTTTCCCGCCTAGAGTGCATGGCTTGTGCATGCAAACGAGTTGTCTCCTCGGCGTGTGCCATGGTCGTCGTTACAGTTGTTGCTGTCGACTCTGCGCTGGCCCTTCTCCGCGACAAGTTTGTCATCATCAGAAACAGCTTCAACGTTTGCACGAGTGGTTGTGACACAACAAGAGAAGCAGGCGCTGCTGCTTGTTTAGGCCCTGAATGTCGGCTCTACCCTACCAGAAGCGCGAGTGAAGGATGCACGCGCCAACGCAACCCGAAAGCACGTGAACAAAGTCCCTTGTGCGCGAAAGCACGAGGGCAGTAATCGATACCTTTCACCGAAAGCATCCTCATCACCAACCAACGAACGAACAACGATGTGTGGTCGCAGCTGTATCCGCGACGACGAGTTGGAGCACGTCAAGACGATGTTCGCCTGCGAGCGGGGCACAGGCACCCTGCCCTCCCCCAACGCAGCCGCGGCGACCCCGCGCTGGGCCGAAGAAGTCACCCCCACCATGCCCAAGACCATCGCCCCCAACACCCGCCGGAATACGGTCAAGAGAGTGGGGAACGATGACGCCGGTGGCGGGGGTCGCGGCGGCGATTCGGACAAGCTGAGAACGGACATTGCCCGGAAAACCCCGCTGGAGGCGTTTACGGCCGCGTTCGACCCGCTCAGGGAACTGGCCAAGGCCGCCGAGGAGAGTGACGTCACGGAAAAGCCGCGGGGGGGAAGAGACCACGGCAGGAAGCAAGGCACAGATTCGGCCGTAGAGCCACGGGGAGGAGAAGAGGAGAAGATCGTGTCGGCCTCACGAGAGGAGCCGGAGGAGAAGCAAAATTCGTAGGCCAATGGCAGGCGGTCACACGGCTGAACCTAGGCGCAGACGAATCGGAAAAACGTTGCGTTTTCGTGTTGAGAGGAGTGCGAGGAGGATGCTACAATACTGTCGGTCGTTTGGTCGGGGTGCTTACCTGGTTGCGTGGCCCCGCTGTTGTGCTTTGCGATTCTCAAATCAGCGGTGATGTTGGCGGGGTGCGGGGCTTGTGGAGTTTTGGATGATTTTGACGTTTGAGCGTGTGTGAGGGCGGAGAGTTGAAAGAGAGGGCATGGCAGGGTGCCAGCCTAATTAAGCAGGCAGAGGGAGGCCACGAAGAGTCAAAACCTGACGGTAGCGAGAGAAACCTGGCGTTAGAGTGATGCAGCGACACGTGGGGGGAGCGGTCGGGCGAGGGGAGGGTAGAGTGAGAGGTGTCAGCTGGATTGGGAGCCGATGGGTGCAATAGTGTTCACGTTTGCGCTATTTCGCGTTGACGCGAACAAGACTTGCATGTCTTTTCGCTGTCGGGGTTTGAACCCAAGAAGTCGTTTCTGGCCAACCCAGGTCGAAGAATATGAAAATGCCGAGGTGTGTTGGCGACGGGGGGATTGTGCAAATAGATGCGCCGGGCGAAGCCCAAGAAGGATGCCAACTTATTCGACCCTATTTTGGATTAATTGTTGAGATTGTCGTGGCATATTATTCGTCCCAACTATGTATTATATGTATCCCGCGAGGTTTGTACGTCTGTTCGTGGTAGATTGACTGTGTCTGCCGGAATGGGTGCCCCTGGTGCAATTAACCGCCTCACGGCTTCGGGTGTGTGTGTTTAGGAAGGCAGGATAGGTACTAGCCGACTTTCAGTGGCCTCTGGTTGTGCGCTTGTTTCTTTGCCCTTGCCCGTTGGTTCGTTTGTCTATTGAAGAGCTGAAGGAAAACAGGGAGGGATTGGGACCAACACATGGTATTTCACCCCCTACGCATAGGAGCACGTGTCGAGAAAACGACGAAAGAGGCAGCTAAATGGATGGGGAGAAGGAGAAGGAGAGGAGGGAGTCCGCAGTGCTGTGACCTGAGCTACATGTAGACGCCCCCTCCGCGCAGCCCGAACAACCATAGTGTTATGCGACCCATCATCACAAATAACATCCGTAGGGCGACAAAATAGGAGCATGATTCACAGTTGCAGTTGCCCCCCGAAATGAAGGGATTTTGCTGACCACCGGCGCGGTTCATGCCGGGGGGCGAACAATCTGAAGTGCTGATTTTCTGCTTCGTTTTCTTCGCGGGGAGTGAATTCATCGTGTGGTGGGGACGGGTAAGCGCAGGCAGCTGTAGTGCAATACGTGTGTGCTGTGCATTCGATTTGGGGCAGTTGCATGTAGGCGGTTGGTCAGAATATTTCGTGGTGGTGGGGACTGAGGGCCTGTTCTAATTTTTTTTGTTTGCATTCCTCGTTTGACTTTGTTTGTGATACAGTTGGGTCCTTGAACATTTCATTTCAGCTTGTGTTCGTTGGCCCTGTATATGCACGAACCAATTGTCGCCATGTGGGTGACTGATTGCTGCCGTGAAGGGAATGTCGAGCAACCAATTTGACTTCGACCGCCTTGTTGCCTTCTATGTGCATGAGATGAGACAACGTGTAAAGTAAAGGTCGCCGTCGTCGCTGTCGCCGGTGTATTTGCTGTTGTTGACTGGTGGTTGATACTCTGGCGTTCTCTCCCTCTCGCACCTACAATCACCTCCGCTTCCATGAGTCTTGGTCCCTCGACTCATTAAAGCGTCGTTGCTCTTCATGCAGCCTCCGGGGGCTGTATGTCGCTATTTTTGTCGCAGTTGGCATGGACGTCGGCGTGCTGTATTCCTTGCAGGGATATTTGATGTGTATTCCAAATCCAATTGGGGTGTAGACTATGACGTAAGAAAAAAAAAAAACGACTGACAACTGCGTTGACAGAATGCCAGTCTCAGAAGAGCTGTGCGACAGAAATGCGACAGAAAATTGAGACTGATTTTCTGTACGCTCACGAAATTCCAGGCCGTTGGTATCTACCTCCTACACACAGCAGTATCTAAATTTTCGTCATTAGTAAACTTTCTTTGTTGGTCGCTCCGGTGATCTACTAGCAGACCTCGTAAATCTTCATTTGTAGATGTAGATCAGGGCAATGCTCCTTGAAGCACCTGTGCCTCCGCAGAAATCAAAATAGTCTAATCCTTTGGGCTTGTTTGTGCAGGAGAATCGAAAGTGTGGAGACCCTCTCCGTCATCTCCACAGAGTAGCTAGGCTTCATCCCCCTTTTCGTGAAAACCGACACAGCAGTACAGCCCTATTGTGTGATGTTGAGCGAAGATCCAAAGTGGTGTTCACCTCGGTGTGGTTGTTATCCTCCCTTCCACCCCTCACTTTCCTACGGCGCCACATCATTCCGGTGTTGAGACCCGTAGACTAGTTGGTTCAAACTCATAGCGCATCTAAGGATGATATGCAACCAGTGGCGGGTTCCGAGCTAAAGACGAATCACCTTTCCCACCTCGGAGAAGAAAAAAAAAAAAAAATTGACTTCGCAGATCGTTCTCAAACGCCCAAAAACGACGTTTAAAAAAAGTTCCCAAAAAAAAAAAGCTCCCCTTCAGCCCGAACTTTTTTTTTCGCCGCATTGCCGAACTTTTTCGCCACGGGAATCGTCGCCAATCGATTCCGCTTGGTCGAATTAGGGGGGGTAGAGCCACTCAGAAAGTTGGTCAGACAAAAAGTGGTGGTGGGAAGCGGGCTTGAAAATGCTGCGCGGCCAGGGCCCAGCGGTGACTGCCGCTGGCGAATGTACACGCATCATGTATGCTGGCCAAACAAGATACGAGGTTATCCACAAGTGGTCCCCACACGAACGAGGAATCAAGCTTCGCACCACCTTGTTGGACAGCAAGAGGAAGGGCAGAAAAGCCGCGGAGAACACAGGCTACTGCGAGGCTAGCGAAGTGGTTTTGTCCAACTTGGCCCGCGAAAAGGCTGACGCCATCATGGCGGGCAAGCGAAACGCAGCTCGGAAGAACGGCATACCACAAGGCGGCGGAAGCGGGGGTTGCGGGGCAGACAGGGTTATGTCCTGCCCCGTCATCGCCGCCATCCAGGGTTCGCATGAGGGATTGAGGACACGTTCTTCTGCCACCACCAACCCGGCTGCTAATAACCCAGAGGTAAGCTGCGCGTCCGGTTGGGCAAGTACGATGTGTGGTACTGCTGTAGCACGGGTGCTGCTGCCTGCTGCCTGCTGCCTGCTGCTGCCTGCTGCCTGCTGCTGCCTGCTGTAG